TTTAAATTACTAAGTCACATTGATGGGTAAATCCAGAATTACATTACAATTGTATTGTATTGTTTAATGCGTCATAATCATCACACCGCATAGTGTTTGAGGTGGGTCCCGCATTATGTTTATAACGCGTGCAAACGTATGACCAGTGCAAGGACAGTTCTTATGTTTTAATCACAAATCATGGGTTAGAATGCCCGAACTCGTACGACAACACTGACATCGCGTAATAGCGACCTTTCACCAAGGACGAATAAAACAGGAAATCACAAACTAACTAACGTTAATTAAATCTCATATTTTGCCTTGTTTCAAAGTTTTGAATATGATTAAATTATAATTCTATCGGAGTATTTATTTGAAACGTGTATCCTAAATTAAATACACAAATTAAATATATATATATATTATTATTTATAACATTATATTGTTTTCATAATAGTATTACAGGTACAAAATGAATGTGCGATGTAAATTTTATAGTTTAGCTGATTTTTACACTAAGTCTACATTACATAAACACATTATAATAATCATGTAATTATTAAAATTGGTTCAATTTTCAATGTTGTTTCGCATTAATAGACAAGCGAAACATCGGCGCATCCTCAACCAATTTTCAAACAGCAAATGACACTCCTTGTATTATTTCGAATAACAGTATAGTCTAGCTCCGATGTATAATATATTAACACAGATATATATTAAAATGGTGAAAAAAGCAACAAATATTGATCGGTCACGTGGAGTTACATGTTCATGGTAACAAAATCAAAAACATTGGATAGATAATGTGACTAATTATGTGATTTGATTATTAATGAGAAAACTAACCAATTAAGGAAGGAGATTGATGACAAAAAATTCAGATCCATTTACCCCTAAACGATATATAATGAGTGTTGCTATTATGTAAATGAATGAACACATCCATCACCCCCACCGTTTTTATTTTTCAGCGAATGGAATAACCTAAGCACAATACATGAGCTAGCACCGCGTTGATAATTTCATTCTCTGTGACAGCGAGAAAGATTTCAACAATGTTTTCACAAGGTGCAATTGTTTCTCTTGTACTTACTCTAACATTGGTTACTGCAGCAATTGAAAAGGTATGTATACTTTGTATACACTTGTAAGTTACATTTGTAAAGTATGTTGTAACATTTAAAAAAAAAACTTAAACTAATTTCGAAACGATTAATACATTCTACATTTCTGATCTATTCACGCTTTTTGCAATATATTAGCGTCCATTATCAAAGTTGCAAGATCAATATTGTATACATAAATGTCGCTTGTAGCTGAAATTAAATCTTATTGACATGTTCCTTGTATTGTATTGCCGGAAACACGGTTGAAAGCGCTTACAGTGTAACCAAAAATCCAATCAGTTAGTTATACGGCGTATTGAGCAGTTTATGTATCGTCTTCACTACAATCAATTGCGTTA